ACATAACAACAACAACAACAACAACGATGATTGCTCTGTACTGCTAAACTATATTTTACTTTTTTATAGAGTTCTCATCATTATTTAACTAATTGAGAATTTCAGTCATTTCTGCTTCCATCAAATTCTTAGAAGTAGGATCTAGTACATATTTCATGCATAACACTTCAAAGTTAGCTTTACTTTATGAACTCATTTTATTACTCTGGTTTGCCCTCATTAGAAATAAAAATCTAGATTAAATTAGGAACTAAGAATGAAAGATAAAGAATGAAGATTTGTTAGTATTTTCCAACCTTCCTGAGCTGGAGTCATTCTAATCTATGCTGATTCATGTTTATTTTTCTTTCTTAGTTTGAATAGAATCTCTATCAGATATGTCATCTAAAAATCAAGCACTTGCATTTCTCAACCCATTCCAAATTCATGTATTTAGATTTTAACATAACTATTACTTTAGCATTAAAAATTAACAGTATTTTGTACTTGTAACATTCATATTGTATTAAGAAGTAGAATAACAATAGTTTAATAATGGTTCTAGAGTATATGTTAGGAGCCCTGGTGCCATAGTGCCTAAGGCATTTGACTGATAACAAGAAGGCTAGCGGTTCAAACCTACCAGCCACTCCTTGGAAGGAAGATTGGACAATTTACTTCCGTAGAGATACCACCTTGGAAACCCAAGGAGGGGTCGCTATGGGTCAAATCGACTCAATGGTAGTGAGTTTGGGAGTTTTTGTTGTTGTTGTTGTTGTTGTTGTTTGGAGTGTATGTTGAGGGAATTTGGAATTGGACAGCAGATTGGACTAAATCTCCAGGGTCCTTTCCAAAGTTAAGGCTTTATGATTCTAGGTAAAGATGACCATGTGATATAATAGAATCAAGTAATATAAATTGATTATCTCAAAATGTGCATAAATTGATTCTTGCATATTTAGTTCCACTAAAACTCGCAGTAAATATTTTATTGAACCACTTTTCCAGTACATTGTCAGAAGCAAATTATTAGTAATGAAATTTGTTTTCTATAGGCTGTTAGCTATAGAGCAATGGAATATATTGTAACAGCTCTTTTATATTTAAATATAAAACTAATTTTAATGGAATGAGAAGAAAACTTAAAGTACAGTGAATAGTTTGAAAATATTACGTAATATGGTACATGAATTTTCACTTTACTAAAGCAAAAAAAAATACAAACTAAAAAAAATTAATCTCTAACAGAGGGGTTAAATTTCTTCAGTAACAGCAGACATTGAAAATTCTATATCTGGTGGTTTGATTTAATGCCAGAAAACACAGTCCTTATTTTGAAACTAGATCCTTTTTAATCCTTTAATTTGACATCTAGAAATTCATATATCCAGTTTGAGCAATAATAAGATGAAAATTACATGGTTGCATTGTTATCGAGGGGAAAAATCGGTGCATAATACATGTGTTAATTATATATTATAGAAAATTAATGAATGATATTCTAATTGAAGTAAAAATAAATGCACAAACATCCCATTAGTATGTTTGACATACACAGAGTTTGAGAAGTGAGATAACGTTTGCAAAATAAATAAATAAATACAGATTTTTTCCCAAGTGATTTTCACTAGATTCTTCCTTTATTTTACCCTGCTATTAACTTCAACATTTTTTTTCTCTTTTAGGACGTGATTCTCATTCACCAGACTCAGGTACAGAAAAGCTATTCTGAATCACTACTACATTTTTTTGTGGAGTTTTTAAAAAACACATTCATAGCCACATTGCTGATCTCACATTAAACTAAGAAATCATATACAGTTATTAAAACAAATTACAGCATATTAAAACAAATTTCTAGAAAGAACACTTCAGTTTGGGAAATAAAAATAAATTTTATTTAAAATCCTGTAAGTGAATGTAGATATTTTTGTATCCAATTTGTTTCCCTTAATAAAAGCTTGGAGATCTTACAATGATCGAAATCAAGGGACACTGAACAGAGATGCCACATATTCCTCTCTTGCAGCAAAAGGTTTTAGAAGCGTTCGACCAAACCTACAAGAAAAAAAATCACCTGTTCAGGTAATCCTGCATACTCCTGTCTACTGAGTTATTTTAAAGCATAGTTACTAGAACATTGCTTTAGATCCTCTTTGCTAGTAACCTGCGCACTCTGATACTTTTTACTTTAATAAGTCTTTGTTTTGTGTTTGTTTTGCTGGCCAAAGTTGTATTTACAACATTGAGGACAAATTTTAGTTTCAAACGTTTTCTTCTTCTGATTGATTAACCTCACAAAAATAGTCAGTCTCTAACTAACGTAATACTTAGCCATGTATACACTGTAAGGTTGAAAACTATGCTAAGAGAACATGTGTTCACTTATTGAAATGATTTACCAGAATGAAGATGGAGACAAAATTTATAATATATTCTCTATAAAAATGTTTTGTTTTTCCTGGTAACTGTTGATGATAAGTTAAAATGTATCCTAAAAAAAATGAAAAATGATCAATTCCTCTAGCCAACAAAACTTGTAGCATAGTGAGAAGGTATGACATTGTTTTCACCTTTTTTAAGGGTAAGGTTGACACTGATTTCCTGAATGACTAACTTTGACTTTCTTTCTGTTCTCTTCTTCAACATTATTTCTTTCTCCTGATGCTTTTGTCAATCCAGGCACCCCTTCCACCACCCAGGAAAGAGAGTTTTTGTAACTCCTTGATAACCAGTCACACAAATGGTGACATTTTAGACCCATTAATAGCTAACACAGAAACACCCTCCCCTCCAGAGTGCTTTACTAACCAAAAGCCTTTACAGAAAACTATGTATTCTAATGAAGATCCCAGCCAGACAATTGTATATTCTGAAGAGTCTAACAGAACTGTTTCATATACACAAAAAATCACTAATTCTCTACCAGCAGCTGCCAGCACAGGTCTCCCACCATATGCTGACATCAGTACCCCTTTTCTACAAGAGGACTACATGCAAGATTCTCAAACTCGGAGAATTTCTACTTTAAAACTAACCCATAGCCAGGATCTAGCAGCTAGCAACCCCTTTAATACATCACAGCTTTCAAAATCTGCTGAAGTATCATCATTTGCGAAAAAACCTTTCTCACCACCCCCTAACACGGTGCCTGAGACACACACGGCCTCTCTTTCCATTCAGATAGCTCCCCTTTCAGGACACCATCCTGAAAGCCACAAACAGCTACCTGAGCTTTCTCCAGAGACTACAAAGATACCTCTTCAGCAAGAGAGACAAAAATCTTCAGTTGCTGTGGCCTCTCAGTCCTCCGACAGCCGGGTGGTACATTACACTTTCCAGTCTTTTTAAAGGCGTGTTGGAGAGACCCTAACCCATTTGGCCTGGGCTCCTTGTATGACTGAATGCTTTGTTAGAATTTCCAAGCAGGAAGGGAAAGGAGAAAGAAACGATCTTAAAATTCACCAAAAATATATATTTTTTAATTTAAAATATGTAGATATACATAGGCTTTTTTTCCTAGAAATCATTTTTTAAATGTGTCCTACCTAATTGCAAAATTTCTAAATGCTGATCATTGATAAGTCAATTATCATGCATAACACTGCAAACTACTTCAGTGCTTAAAGTACTTTTGAGTCTAAAACATTATTTTCATGGCAGACCTTTTGGTAGCTAGACTTACTTTATTTACAGGTCTAAAACTTTTTAAAATAATGGTCAGTGATCATTCTTTTTGGCACAAAAAATTTTTCATTATTTTGTAGTTCAGTATTCATTATCACTGAAACTTAATCAGTTTCTACCTTATGTTTAATTTGACATTTCAGAAATCATAGTAATCAACCTTTGGCACTGAGACTGTTGGGAAGTAAACGTTTATTTCCACGTGCATAAAATTCTCTCAGAGCATAAGTCAACTGACATTTATTAATCTGTTTAAAAGAAGAGTCATACGTTCCTCTTCTCAGCTTCTTCCAAACATAATGTTGCAGCATAAATTAAAGGAGCTCTAGTAGCTTAGTGCCTAAGGCATTTGACTGCTAACCAGAAGGCTGTCAGTTCAAGCCCATCAGTCACTCCTTGGAAGGAAGACTGGGCGATCTACTTCCGTAAAGATTTATTTCCTCAGAAACCCAAGGAGGGGTCGTTATGAGTTGGGAATGACTCTACAGCAGTGAGTTACATATTTCAAGGACAAACTGGATTTCCACCCAAGCTTCATCACTGTTAATGTGACGAGGCTACTGTCTTGTCTGTGAGCCTGAGCTACAGAATGGGAATATTCATCTTTAATTCATAGGCTGTGGCAACACTAAAGAAATAGCAGACATAAATCAGTTAAGACAGAGCAAGCACTCAACAAATGGTAACCATTAATAAAAGGTATAACTAGTAGCAAGAGCCGTAGTGGTAATATTGAAAACACTACTGCCTAATTAGATATTTTGTATACTGCTATTTCCTGTTGTTGTGGTGTTGAAGATTACCCAAAACTCATCCTTAAAGAGATATATTTTTAAACTTTGTATAGTATCTTCAACAGATATCTGACTAATACTAAATATCTCCTATACACACACACACACACACACACAGAGCAACAACCTTAAACATAGAACTCATATGGGCAAGTGGATGTTTTCTGTGAATACCCACTTGCGTATTTCATATCTTCATCAGCAAAATTCATTTATTAGAGCCATTTCTTTGACTTCAAGTAATGTTTTCTGAGAAAAAAGCAACCAAAGCTATTGCCATTGAGTCAAATCCGACTCATAGCAACCGTATGGAACAGAGTAGAATCACCTCATGGAGTTTCCAAGGCTATAATCTTTATGGAAGCAGACTGTCTCATCTTTCTCCTGCAGAGCAGCTAGTGGGTTTAAACTGCTGATCTTTCTGTTAGCAGTGGAGCACTTTTATCACTGTGCCACCAGGGCTCTAGATAAGATAATAATAATAATAATAACCAGCTGCTGCAGAATTGGCTCTAACTCAGGGTGACCCCTTGTGTGTCAGACTAGACCTGTGCTCCATAAGACTTTCTCTGGCTGATTTTTTGGAAGGAGACAGCTTCTGAGGTGCCTCTGGGTGAACTCGAGCCTGCAACTTTTTGGCTAGCTGCCAAGTGCATTACCCATTTATCTCTCTCAGGAATTCCAATAATAATAACAGCTAACAAATATCTAAGTTCACCATTTTCAGGCACTGTTCTAACTTTACACTTATTAATAATTTTAGCAATCTCATAAGGTAGGTATTACTATTGTTGTTGTTATTATTATTATTATTATCTTCATTTTATAGATAAGGAAACTAAGGCATAGAAATAACTTACAAGGTCCCCAGCTAATTAGGAGTAGAGGCAGAATACAAATCCAGACATTATGGCCCCAGAACATGCCCTCTGAACCATTATGCTATACTACCTCTCATGGAAGTAGATTGCCCAGTCTTCCTTCAGAGGAGTGGCTGGTGGATTTGAACTGCCAGCCTTCTGGTTAGCAGTCAAATGCCTTAGGCACTACGCCACCAGAACTCCTTCATTGTGAAATAGTCTTCACTAGTGAAAAGTAGACAGTGGGGCTATGGATGGCACCATGGGAAATAAGACAAATATAACTTGGTAGAGTTTAGCATCCCAGAAAGTTCTGAGGGAGGAAAATCAGGTTGAGATATAAGACAGGGTGCACAAGTGTCAGAGATCCAAATTCTGTGTGCTCCAGGGGTATAACTCCAGGGGTAGGAGTAGGAGAAGTCATAGAAAATATCATTACATTCTCAACTCATTTCACTCATCTAACATGTTTTATCAAGTTTGAAAACAGAAGTTGATAACTTTCCTTTTAGATGGCTTTGTCACTATCCAGGTTGATCAAAGACAACTTGGTTTAATTTATGCAATCCTCAGAGAGTCTGCATAATTCAGAAGATAAGATTTGGGTTTCTGTCACTTTTACTCACTCAACAAACAATTATTGGACACCTACTAAGTGCCAAAAGAGCTCTGGTGGCACCACTGTTAAGGTCTCAGCTGCTAACCAAAATATTTGCTGTTCAAACCCATCAGCAGCTCTGCAGGAGAAAGTTGGGGCAGTCTGATTTATAGCTTTGGAAACCCTCTGGGCAGTTTTACTCTGTTCTATATGGTTGTTATAAGTCAAAACTGACTCAATGACAATGTGTTTGGTCTGAGGGTACTATGTGCCAAGTAATGATCTAGTCATAAAGCTGGATTTGAAATGATGGATACTTAAAATTTTGTGATGAGGGAGACAAATATTTAAAGAAGAAAACACCTTAAGTGAGTCACGTACTTTACCAAGAAAAACAGCCGAAGGAAATATGTCTATGGAAATAAAAACTAGGCCTTGCTAAGCAGGGACATCAGGAACAGTTTACATTCTGAGTAAGATAGTCAAATTGATCTCATTGAAAGACAGAAGAGCTTCAAAGCACGGAAGAACATTCCAGGCAGAGAGAACCCCTAGTTGTAAGACTTTTAAGTCTGAAGTATGCTGGTGCTGTCCAAGACCTCCAAGGAAGCCAGTGCCAAAGGAGAAGAAGGAAACAAGGTAAAGAGTAACAGGAAATGAAGTCAGAAGTGAGAGATGTCAGATCACAGAAGTCCTTGTGAGCCACTGCAAAGATTTCAATTTATTATCAATAAGAAAGGGGGTCATGGGGGATTATCATCACTTGACTTATCTTCTAACAGAATCTTTCTGGCAGCTGAGTTGAGGACAAACAATATTAAGTAAAGAGAAGAGCAAGCAAACCAGCTAAGTTGCTATTGCAGTAATTCAAGGGAGAAATGACAGTGGCTGGGAGAAGTTGGAAGCAGTGGAGGTAATGAGAACTGATCAGATTCTGAAGGTAATTTAAAAGTAGAACAAACAGGACTTCTTGACAGATTGCACATAGGATGTGTGGGAAAGAGAGGAATTGAGGTTGACTCCAGTCTGTAACTGGGAAGTATAAAATTCCCATTAACTGAGAAGGATGTGTGGTGGCACAGTGATTAAACTACTCAGCTGCTAACTAAAAGGTCAGTGGTTCAAACCCACTAGCCACTCAAGGGGAGAAAGATGAGACAGTCTGCTTCCATAAAGATTTACAGCTTTGGGAACTCTATAAGGCAGTTCTACTCTGTCCTATAGGGTTGCTGTGAGTTGGAATCACTTCGATAACAGTAGGTTAGCTTTTGGTTTTTTGGACAACTGTGACTAGAACAGATTTGGGGAGAAATCAGAGGTTGCATTTGTGACATGTCAAAGTTGAGAATAGACTTGATGGGAGCTAACAACAAAAAAGTTGAGATATCTGTAGACATCCATATGGAGAGGTCAAGAAGGCAGTTGAATATATTGAGTGAGTCAGGAATTCAGGAGAGAAGTCTGGTTTAGAGATACGTATTTGGAGTCAACAACTTATAGATTGTTTTTGTAGCCACAAGACAAGTGAGGTCACCAAGGAAATGAATATAGAGAAAAGAGGACGCCCAAGGACTGAGGCCTAGTGCTTCTCAATATTAAGAAAAGAAACAAAAAGGAGAAAGAAGTGTTTGCTGAGGAGGAGGAAATTCATGAAAATTTGGTGTCCTAAATTCCAAGTGAGAAAATTATGTCAAAGAGAAAGGTTAGTCAAATGTGAAAATACTGCTGATACTGCAAGAGTAAGATAAGATCTCAGCTTGACCTTTAGAAATGTGAAGGTCATGGTAATTTACTAAGTGTTGGGGAAAATGAGCACCCACTTGGGGTGGGTTTAAGAAAGACTGGGAGGAGAGCAATGGAACTGTGAATTCTTTCAAAGTGTTATTAACATAAGACCTTTCATCTGGTTATTCAGTGTTCCTAAATCTCAGTTCCTTCATCTATAAAGTAGAGATGAAAATAGCATTCATCACATAGAGTTGCTATGAGATCTGAATAAGATAATGCATCTAAGGTACTTGTTGGCAGAGTGCCTGCTACAGAGTAATCCCTCAACATATGGTAGCTGTTATTATTTTAAAATAATATCCTTTTTCTAGATTAAGTAGCTGATTAGAAAAAGGAAATATTTATCACGTATAATGCTCTATTTTTAAGTCTGTTTTCTCATTCAATACTCTTTTGCGATGGTGGCTTTTCCATTTTATATACTCAAGTTCTACATTCTGGCAAGAAAGCTTTGTAAATGCCAAGAGCTATAAACGACACCATAAAACAGCCAAATGTAAGATAAAGGTAAAGAACTAGCTCCCAAGAAATTACCAGACCCAAGAAACAAATATCCTCTATACTGGGAAGTCAAAAGGAAATATCAGTGTTCTAGAA